TGAGACACGTTTCCGGTCAATAACCAACAGCGGAACCTGGATGCTCATATTGGTTCCCACATATTCTACGAAGATCTTTATCGGTCAAACCGCATAACTACATACGTTGTTCCCTTTGTCATCGGTATGTTACTTGCCCGAGATTCGATCGTCGGTATCTCAATACCTAGTTCAATCTCATTACCGGCAAGTCTCTTTACTCATTTATGTAATGCATCATCCCGCAACTAACTCATTAGTTACATTGCTTGCAAGGCTTATAGTGATGTGCATTACCGAGAGGGCCCAGAGATACCTCTCCGACAATCGAAGTGACAAATCCTAATCTCGAAATACGTCAACTCAACAAGTACCTTCGGAGACACCTGTAGAGCACCTTTATAATCACCCAGTTACGTTGTGACGTTTGGTAGCACACAAAGTGTTCCTCTGGTAAGCGGGAGTTACATAATCTCATAGTCATAGGAACGTGTATAAGTCATGAAGAAAGCAATAGCAACATACTAAACGATCAAGTGCTAAGCTAACGAAATGGGTCAAGTCAATCACATCATTCTTCTAATGATGTGATCCCATTGATCAAATGATAACTCATATCTACGTTTAGGAAACTCAACCGTCTTTGATCAATGAGCTAGTCAAGTAGAGGCATACTAGTGACACTATGTTTGTCTATGTATTCACACATGTATTATGTTTTGGATTAATACAATTCTAGCATGAATAATAAACATTTATCATGAAATAAGGAAATAAACAATAACTTTATTATTGCCTCTAGGGCATATTTCCTTCAGAACCATGATCCTGGGGGATCTCACGACAGTTGTTTATGAAACCATAATCCCAAGGGGCTCTGATGGCAGTTGTTTGTGGAACCATGATCCTGAGGGGCTCTCATGACAGTTGTTTGCGTAACCATGATCCTAAGGAGCTCTCATGGAAGTTGTTTGTGTAACCATGATCCTAAGGGGCTCTCATGGCAATTGTTCTTAACCATGATCTTGAGGGGCTCTTATGACAATTTTGACTAACCACCATCCTGAAGGTTTCTCGTGACAATGATTGGGTGATGTGATCCCGAGGGCTCTCATAGTCAGGTGAATTAGAGAAGACCTAAGTTGTTCACAAGTCAACTGTGGTTGGTCGAAACTTGGCTAATAAGCAGAAGCAAGAGGAAATAAGTTTTAGAAATATTTAGAACCACAACCTTCCATGTCATGCTTGAGGACTTGTAGGGTTGCCATATCATTAGTTGGAACATTGTCAATACATTAAATGTATTGACCCTTGTGGCTACAACGTATCATGTTGCAGGATTGTCTGTATCGAAGGAAAGATACGAAGTAGGGTTACAATGTTGTGCTCAACTACTGCTTGTGAGTAGAAGGATGCCACAAAATATTATTGTATTCCCGTTGCATGATATTATAAGCTAGCCATGAACTAAGCAGGTATGTGATGTATTAAAGACTATATCTGTGATGTAATACTATGGCATGTGATATTTCTTGTTATTTCATTGTGTATCGTGTGTTCTCACAATGAATTGAGGGATTAGAATGGCAAGTACGGAGATTCAAGCCCCTATCCGGGACCGAGTCATTACATATGGTACCAGAGCACATGTTGTCTACACGTCATGACCCTAGGAAATGGACTAGGAAAACTCATAGGATGAAAATCTATTTTGACACCTCCTTGTACTTATTATGCCTTGATCTCATACTTCTTACCTCTTGGCCTTTCCAATCCTCTCCCTTCAAAACTTGGGTGACCAATCTTATAGAATCGGTCAGAAGGGATCATTGGTCGCCATGACATTGGAGTCCAAGACTAAGTTCTCAAGGGCACTAAAGGATTCAAGTTAAGCATGGGACTCAAAGGAGTTGTGCATAAAGAATTTCCAATCATGAATGAAGTCCAGGAGTATTGGTAGAGTTAACTGCATATGAGGAAAAACAAGGATGATGTCGTCAAAAAAAGGATGATGGCCACAAGTAGTTTAGACTCCACATGTTCACCAACTCAGTGCCCCTTATGACATTCTTGGATTCAACAAGAAGCAAGGCATTGAAAGCAACTAAGAAGTTTGGAGAAAGACTTAGCTTCAGACTGCACAGTACCCAGAAGTACCTCGGGGAAGTAGAGGAGGAACTGGAAACACTCAAGGAGGAAATTAGACAGGAGAGTGCAAGAGTGACACCAAGGAGGAAGCAGAATGAGGAGGCGACAACTCGATGATATATATGATTAGCTCAGCTAAAGCAGGAGTGAAGCTTAGATTTGACCAGTGGTACTATGTTTATCTGAAGCAAACACTTTATGATTAGTCCAGTGAGATCATAGAATGATGCCCTACATTGGATGGTGATGTGTGTTGTGTGAATGAAATGCTTCTGTGAATAGGATTAGTATGCGATTTGACCCTCACCACCTAGTAAGACTAGAAGTCGAGAAGACACCACTGGAGGAGTTAAGTCATCCATATCGGAGACTTGGAAATTTCAAAAGATAGCGAGAACATAAGACACCGACTGTACCAACAGACGTTAGGTGAGAACTATTATTTCTGGAGGGCCGCGACCACGTGGGGGGTGCTGGCTGGCATGCGAGTCATCCGATCTGGCCACGGACGACTCAAATCTGGCACTGGGGCTGGCTGCCTGTGGGTGGCGGCGCCAGCTTTGGAGGGGTTAGACCAGGTGATGGCTGGCACTGAAATGTAGGGGGGATGTCTCTCCAAATTTGGGGTTGGCTCAATTAGGAAGGAGATTGGCTTCTTAAATAGGATGTGGGTTTGTGGGGCTTTTGGGCTGGTTTTTTGAGGAGGTTTAGGCATGTTAGACATTTTTTTAAAGAAAATGTGTTCATTATTTAGGCTACTAATACCTTCATGTTTGATTGTTTAGGTATCAAACAAACTCGAAACCGAATGAAGTTTGTCGTGTAGCCTCGATATACTATAGCAACACCACAAGAAATCTTCTAACTCTGTTGAGAACATTTATTTCCCATTTATAAACTATTTTAAAATTTTATCACGTGTCCATGTGCAAAGTG